ATTATGGTTTGATTTTATGGTATTGAAAAATTAAAATTATAGCTTAATTTAATTACTTGCGCTAAACTCTCATTGTCATACTACTGTTACCTGTTCTAGTTCTTCTTCTCAAGAGCTAAAATTATTTTCTGGTGGAATATTTTGCATTTCTAGAACAACTCATATGTGGACTGGTTATTCTTACTGAGACATCTAGCAGCTGACAAACACATCACGACACAGTGTTGTTGTCAAGTAAGCGTAGAACTAAGTTCAGGAAGCTTTACATTTCTCAACAACATCCGATTTCCGCTTCGACCAATAATTATATTGGGTCTGGTGTCATACTGACTCGCAGTGATGGACCCGTGGCGTCGGAGACTTTATTATCGTGTTCGATTGACAGTTGGAACTGTATCAGGATTACCAGGTACGTGGTAACTGCCCCAAAGATCTGGAACAATAGGAACGTAGATCAACATTTAGAAGGTCGCAATTGAAGAGTTACGTCAAATGCAGTCAGAACCAATGTGAAAGAAACTGCTCTGAAAGAAAAAGAATATTCTAAGGTTCATAATTAAGACAATTTCTACCTTTGTCTTTCAATTATTATTATATTATTTAGTGTTCTGTCTGACGACAGGTCCATATGAACAGGATCCTTCCATCCTTTTCTCGGACTGGGACCTGTTCATATACGTTCTTGGCAGATGATCCAGAAGTGGTTTGCCATTGCCTTCTTCTGTGTGTGAATGGAGTAATTGTTGGGATGCCACGGAGGAAAACTCCGTGTTGCCTAGACCACGGCCTTGCCCAACACAAGTTATAAATTCGGGCACCGCCGGGAATCGAACCCGAGACCCCAGGATTACAAGGCCAGCGTTCTAACCGCTAGACCACCATGTAAATTGCGGGGTATGATATGCTTTTATATAATGTATATCAGCGTATTCCGACCCGTCAAAGTTGAAATGAATTAACCTTTCAGTTTATTTCAGTACTATCATAGCATATCGCACTTAAAGTATGAACTTTGTAAAATCAATTTTTAAAATAAATTAAACGTGGAAAAATCTTCACTCCCAGTAAAGTCAGATTCCTGTCAAATGTACCAATATAAAACCAACGGCCTGAATCCAGACTCCCGCCTGACCCAAATTGCCAGACGCCACCGTAGGCACCACCACAGCGTCATTTGCATTTGATGCTTCCACAGTCGCCAACATCCAAACTTTCGATTGTTTCTGCACGGAACGAACGGCACAGTCGAATGTGACGGACATTGACAATTACATTAGGAGGAAATGTTACGATAGAAGTAAATAATCCGCGGATTACAGGGGGGCGACTCGTCTTCATTTGTTGACAAAAACTGCTTCTGCTACTCCACATGTCTTCGCGGTGTGGTGCTTAATAAAACACATTAAGACTACATAATTCTTACTGTTCTTCATAAGTGCTTACATTACTCACCGAGTACAGCAGGGTAAAGTCTAGAGGGAAGATTCCGCAGGCTGTGAAATGGACCTTCCTATGCAGCAGCTGTAGTGAGAACACTTCAAGCTGAAACGTGAATACAACAGAGACTCAACTTCATGTCTTTAAGCGGACTGCCAGACGTTGAAGAAACAAGGATGAAGAAATGTTCTTCAGGTAGTAAGAAATAAGTATGAAACGCAACTCAGCAAGCTCAGAAGAGTATTCCGTTTCATAATGCACATAATAATATCCTCATGCGTTCTTTACAACGTGCATTTTGAGACTTTACATCCGCCTTGTTCCATAGTTCCCATATTGGCCACCAAATCGCCTCACCTCAATGTCAACCTCTCGAATTACCTCACCTTCTGCTCTTTCTTGACCTCGGCACTAGATGGGGGTGAGTGGTCAGTAACACAAGTTTTATAACGTCTAAGAGGTCATTGCTGATGAAAAGTCATCGCCCTGATGATGGAGGCAGCAAGGACCTCTGAAACGTTGTTAAACTTCTATTAGACTACACGGTGCTACAACCCATAAGACAGCCGTCTTCAAGAGAGAAATCTTACTGCTACAAAACTAGATAAGGGTACGAACATTGAAATGTTTAATTGATTCTCGAATAAATGCCAAGCAGTGCAACCTATAATTCTAACCCTAGTGCTTCGTACCTCATCTCTCACGTCAGGATCCATGACCTTGTTGAATAATTTGTGTACCACCGCAGCAATTTGCTTTGCCTGGAAATAAATAGTGGATTTAAAGTAGACTGATTTCAAAACTGTGCTGTTGTGCGTTTTGATATCGAATGGGAAGTTTCGAATACTTTGCGGTTTCGTCAATTTAAGGTGAAAAGACGAAGCTTCATATTACAGTCCGTTGGAAGACATAACAGTTTATATCTTGCATGTCTTAGATGGAAGCCAAGCTGCGAATTTTTTAAGGTGTCTCAGATTGGTGAGAAAAGATATTTAGTCGGAAAAGCTGTGGGGAAGAAATCACTTAAGATATCTGGTGATAGTTTGGAAGATAATATTAAAAACCTGAGGGTATAGACAGGACATATCGGGGTTGGGGTACACAACATTTATGGGCTTTTGTGAGCACGGTAATAAATCTTTGGATTAAACAGAAAGCGTGTGGTATATTTTATTAGCTGAGAGACTATTAGTTTTCAAGAAACACCAAAGTAACGATAAGAAACAATCGATTTACGTTTAATTGTTCAAAGAATTCGAAACTATTTCCATTAAGGTAGAGCAGTTAAAATCTAAATAAAATTCTTTACATTCGTGTCCACTTATTTCTTAGTTGATAAAGGAATACAGCAAGCTTGTTTGTGCGAATTGCAAGGGTATGTTCAACTGCAAGTCTAGAAAATAACTTATTACAAGTATTTAATATTCGACAGTGGTTTCCGATAATTCGTCTCCGTGGCAAATGGAGTCCCGCCTACCCAAGGTAGAACGTGCATGATAATTAAACAGATTAGAAATATGTTGGAAATGATAAAAGATGTAAGAAAAATATAAAACTGGCTTTGAAACCTTTCTTACCTCGTGTGTCGTAGTGTTGCATGCTGAAAGCAAAGCCATGTTGCTTAAGAAGGTCAGCATTAACCAGTAAAATGCAATCAAATTCCATTCCGTACCAGAAAACACACCTTTACTTTGATTAAACAAACTTAAGACGCAGAAATATGAATTGTACGTCACAGTTAAAAATGAAACCCCAAAAATAAACAATAACTGGACTGAAAACGCAGCTGTTAAGAATGATGAAGAATCACACAATAAACCGTGGACTTTCAAAATTATCTGCAGCTTCCTCTTGATAGAAGACAACGAAACAATTCTTGCATTTAATAAATGCATTTCAGAAGTAACGATTGGCATCTCTAGGAGAACTAAGTTGTTAATTATCACCCGAAGTGCCTTGAAACGTTGGTTTATGATGCAAACTGAACTGGTGAAATCGATGATTAGGACAAGATAAGTGGTCCCGCTGGTTACTGTAACCAGACAGCCAACTATCGAAGGAAATAACCCAGACCTGTTGTTAGCTAAGTGAAGCTGACATCTACCGATATAGTAGAATGACAGTAATACGAATGTTATTAGAAGTACATAAATAAGACGCCAGAATACTTTACTGTAAGTCCGATTTATATTTTGGAAATTTTTATCAATTTTGTTCAAAGTTTTGTAAAATGATTCATATTTACTTTTCTTCAGAAGACATGCTAAACGTAAAATTATATTTGTTACGATAATTGCTGCGTATTCGATGGCTCTAACGTTTATGAAAAACGAGTGGTCTGTATATTCCATAAACAGCGTGAGTTTTAGAAGAGCCAAAATGGCCAAGCACATAATTATGGATAAATCATAAGACGTTAATATTTTGGAATCCTGAAGGCGTCGCGATCCTGAGACACCTACGACATTGAATGGTGTTAATCCAAGCACCCTCAAAATGCAGTTTAGAGGATACACAGCTGAATAAATATCCATTGCTTCTGTACGCTGGTGCTTTAAATACTAAAGGAAGAAAGCGACGTCTGCAGCAAAGGAACTGGTGTACGATAAAATGTTGTTCATTACGTTAATGGATAAGTGACGACTCACAGCGAAAATGATCGGAGATACGCTTGATACTATCATTGAAGATCCCCAGTGCCCACACATGCGTCGTTATTCATAGTACAAAGCTTCTTACAGTCAGCAACCTTTGCGTTTAAATTAAGGAAATTCATGAGTAAGCCTGTTGTTTTGGATCTGAAATATTATCTCTCGCCAGAAATTAAGGAACGCGTAATAAAAACAAGATGGCTGTGCATTTGAAATGTTGAGATATGTTTCTGAGACAATACGTATATATGTACGTACCTATAAAAGGACGTGTGTGTGTGTAGTATTTGTCTGTGTGCATGCACGCAATTATGAGTGCGTGTACGTAATGTAACCGAATTAATGTATGGATGCAGATGTGTTTGTAAAAATGTATGTAAATCGTGTAAACGTCAGAGCTACACTTGCATTTCGACCATTAACTGGCCTTTCAGCCCTTCCCAGTTCTTCTGATCCGAAAGTAGTCGCGTGCCACAAGGCCACACATTGTCTTACTCAACGTCATCTCCTGAAAGTTGCCTTGTTCCAGCAAATATCTGCCCAGACTGGAACATCATGAATCTCGTGGTCATAGTGAAGCCCTCGCTACAGATCCCTGGTCTAATGGCGTCCCTTTATCCTTGATAAAGATAAACCTCCTAACTACTTTGCTCCCATCAGACTTGGGACATTTTAGGCACACCACTTAGTTCCTCCCAAGGCTTAGTTAGTGCGACGCGCCGGAGTTGGCTATAAGCACCCGGACGTGCTCCGGGCTCTTACCAGTTAATGTCTGCCTAAGGAACACTTGTTTCATTATTCGGCTACCCTGAGTTGGCTGATGCTGTCATATCCCCAAAGTGGCGTGCCAGAACTGCGGTGTTACTGCTGACAGGGATTGACTATGAAGTGTAAGGTCTGTGTTAAATTACCCTTTTTTTGTAGCTACGAACAGGTTCCTAGTCTTAAAGAGTCCCTGGGTCGTTAGAGAGGACTAACCTCTTTAATTAAGATAATAATCTTCGACTTGGGCCTTACGGGAACAGGCTGGGCCCCCTCGTGTTTGGTAAATGCCATATACACGGTCTCTCCCGTTTCTTGGCAGGTTCTTCACCACTGATGATGTCAGCAACCCCGGATTGGCAGGTGCGTCACTTCCCCAAGATGGTGTACCAAAATCACCGGTTGCCTGCCGAGATAAATCAGCTTTCAAACGGAAGCTCCATATTGGAGGAACTTCCTCGTATCGCTCCGGCCCACTCAGAGCCTACTTACAGAAGGAAATCGTCGTCCACGTGTTATCTGGAACCACCAGCTCCTTCTTGTGGCATGTCAAAATTGTTGGTTCCTGATCTGCAGGTTTGCTGGAGCCACCAGTCCCCTGTAGGGTTACGTCAGAACTGGTGGCTTCCTACTGAGAAGAATCTACTTACATACGGAGTCTGTATTTGAGAACACCTTTACGTGGCTTCCGCCATTACTCTATTATTCTCGTGTTACATTTTCGTTCCACGATGACTGGGGAACAAAAGTCTCCACCTGCAGAGCCCCACGCGGTAAATATGTGGACCTCAGTACGAAGAAGTAGCAGGAGGAATGGGAAAATTACTTAATGAAGAGATTCATAATTTGTAGCAGTCACCAAATTTTATTAGGATAATAAGGTAAAACTTAACGTGATGGACAGGACATGTAACATGCATATAGTTTATAAATGTGACTGAGGTTTGTTAGGGAAGCCAGAAGGTGAGATATCAATTCAGAGGTTTTGGTTTGAGGTTAACACTGAAAAGGATTTTAAGTACGACTACATAATGTTCGAGGACGTGAAATGGATTTATTTGATAGAGAAAGGGGCAAGTGGCAGGCTTTTGTGAATACTGTTATGAACCTGTGCGTCTCATGATTGACGAGCTGTATAATTATTAGGTTCTTAACGGCTTTACTTTACGGATTAAATTAGCTAGTCGTGAGTTAACACACAGAATTTAACACATCACTGCATTAATAATATATAATAAGATACAATGAACTAACTTCAAATGTTTTTTACGACTGTGTGATGTATTGTTCATAATTATTCTGTTGGACGTTGTCCATATTCGACACATTTTTTTGGACTGCGAGAAAATCCTACAATGCTGGGCTTCCTGTTCGAACAAGTCAAAGTCTGAGATTCAGTCAACCAGGGGGTGGAGCAAAATAGATTTCCTAATAGTCGCATGATGGCGGAAGTAGAAGGAACTTCCGAAAGATTCCGCTTGTAAAAATATTTGGGCGCTGGATAAAATCAAACAATAGAATCACATACACCCAGCTGGAAACATGCAGTAAAATTATAAATTTGTTCAAACACTTAAATAAACTGAGCAGCACTATTATGGAAGGAGTAGAAGAGATCGGTTTGGTATAATTTAAATCTAGATTTATGGGTGCATAATGGGAGTGACGCCACTTGAAGACGTGGCTTCTTGCAAAGCCATCGTCACTGTTATGTTCTGTGATGGGACCGTGAACGAGAGTTGAAACTGTATCAGAATCACCAAATACGTTGTCACAGCCCCAGTGATCTGCAACACAGACATTACATGCATTTCAGACACCTTTCAGACGCGACAAAATGTTTCTCGTTACAATTAATTTCGCTGTTGGAAGAAACACAACAGATTTTTGGTTTTAAAATGACGGGCATTCGGCCTATATCGCAAAAATAACAACTGTCTTACTGCGAGAGTTCTTTAATGAGCGTACTGCTTGGAGTTGCCTTTGGCCACCGCGATCTCCGAACCCCACCCCACTACAATTCTTCCTGCCTCAAAGAAAGAGTTTATTCGGATAACCCAAGAAGTTTTGAAGATACTGAACAATGTCCCAGAAACACTGCAAACACTTACGGAACACAACGGAAAAAGTGGTCGCTTGACTTCAAGAAGGCTGTGGACATTACCAGCGTCTGCTATAAAGCTGCTCCGGACGTTTTTCCTAACAAATGACAACTAAAAGCGAATCGGTTGTCTTGTTATATTGATTTCACCGAAGATTTAAACACTTATGTAATGCGTCTTAAATTGTACATCTGACATGTAGTCTGGTCGCCTTGATGACTGCAGCAGCAACCACCTCCGAAACGTCGGTAAACTTGTACCACACTACACGCTACATCACCCCAGGAGACAACAAGCTTCATATTCAAAGCCGTAAGAACCTGAAATGTTACAATCTAAACATACGCTTACTCTAACAATAAAGGCAGACGTTTAGATAATAACAATAATTGTGTTTTGGGTACTAATGCACTTCTTACCGAGTGGAGAAGGGTGAAGTCCAACGGAAAGAAACCGCAAGCCGTGAACTGGACTTTCCTGTGTAACAGCTTCAGCGAGAATATTTTGAGCTGAAATATATACGAAGCGTCACACGTAAAGCAAATTACACCAGAACTGATTATGTTGTCACGCTGTTTTATGTACAATTTTTAAAGTGTAAATTACATTTGTGGTCTTCCTTTGTAATATCAGAAGTAAAATTCGCTACTTTGCAGAAAGTTATATTGAATAATTTATGTGGAAATACTTCGTCTACGTTTAGCTGACCATTTCCTCTGTGTTACTAAAATAGAATTAAGGTAGCTGTAACCCTTAAACACGTCTTATATACACCATAAAATAATAATCCCATACCTCTTCTTTTACTTCAATGTCACTTGTGTTACTGATTAATTTGTGAACGATGGCTGCAGTTCGATTGGCCTAAAAATAAGCAATAAACACAGAGCATCACTATGATTCGTCATGAAAAGCTATAAATAACATAACAGACAACTGCTTAAAATTCCTCACACACACACACACACACATTTTCATTGACGCAAAACACATTTCTAATAAAATATTTAGCCTTCACATGTCAGTAGTAACAACGTTTACCGTCTCTTTTGAAGGTCTACCTGTTCGTTTCGATTCATGTTAAATACGATAAGAAATGCGAAACAAATACTGAGTATAAATAAAGGAATGCGATTTGGATCGACCAATTTTGAAACCTGTTCATGTCAAATACTTCCTTTTTTTCCCACTCTGACTATTTTTCTCAAAGCTGAAACAAAACAATTACAAAACTGACCCAAATCTGAAACGGTTAAGTGAAATCCGGCTGTGAGTCAATAGGCCAAATAGATAAAAAGTAAGAAATTAATTTAAGTATTAAAACCCCTTGTGTCTGCACATTCCCTTCAGTTCATCCTTATGCAACTGATTCTAGTCAAAACAACGTCGATGACGAGCTGGACTATGCTTGTCTCAGGACTCAACGGGTCCCTGTCATATAGGCAACTAGCTGACATTCCGCAGTGTTAGAGCCGGAAAAACTCGACACTTGGACAAGCATCATTTAACAAAATTCCATTCACAGGTCAGTGTTATTTTCATTGACTTCCTTCTTATTGTCCCAGTCAAAGAACCAAATGCATTTAGAAATATATGAGAATTCCGAAACACATTTGTCATCTTTTAAAAAAGTTATATTTTTCCATAAATAATCAAAATGCCAAGTTTTCTCTGTTGTAGTTCCATTGACGACTATTTTGAATTTTATATGATAGCTCCCTTCAAAATCTATTATCTTACTTTGTGTGTTAAAATTACAAAATAGTAAGCTACATTTATTGTTCAACTGGAACACGGACCCTTGCAGTTCATCTCCTGCTTCCTAATTATCAATTGGTCGTTCGCAAAACATTTTTCTGTTATTCATGCCTCCAGATTGCGTTTGTTCACATTCATCAAGGAAAAATTTCACCCCTCTCTTGAGCCAATGTAGACGGCAGACTTATTTGGAAGCCACTGGGCGGTTTTTTTTACGATTTGTGGTATGGGCATTATGCCGCTGAGATATGCCCCAAAATCGTACTTCCCAATCTCCTACAATCGGTAATACCAACATGGCGGACGAATGACCGTGTTAATTGTCATCGACACTAGCGCCACTTACAATAGTGCTATACAATGACGTATCTTTGAAAGACACACGACAATAGTACACATCACGTTATAATCATTCAAAGCAAATGGGTAGAACGACTTTTAATGGAGGAAATGTGTTATAAACGGTTCTGGTATATACATAATTTTAATTTACGTCATACTGTGAAGAAATGGATGAGTTTCGTGAAATTAATAGCGCTATTACATTAAATATTAAGTAAAAAAAAAAGATGTTTAAACGGCCTATAACTGACGTTAATTACTACTTTTCACTTTGTATGCTTATCGGAATGTAAAGTTCATGCTTTACAGCTCATACATATTTTAACAAATATTGATTGTACTAAGAGATACGCGTGTGTTCGTCGAACTGATCCATCGTCTAGTAGATAAAATATAATATATTATATTATATTAAATATAATATAAGGAAATTGGTAACGGACATGGCATACATTTCAGGAGACCTACCATGACTAACAATCTCAATAGAGCAGAGTTCTTTTTAAGACTAAATAATTGTCCAGCAAGTCATTAATAGACAATATCTGCAGTGTGTCCGCAACAGTATATTCAAGGCTGAAGGACGTGTTTTGGGCTCAACTTTAGTACAAAAGTTTAGACATTTACATTTCCAAAACTCAATAGTTACGAAGATGTGGTGGAAGGTGTGTGCAGTGAAGTCGAGTTCTAAGGCTGAGCTGTTGAATTACAAAATGGATGGTCCCGCTCATACAAGAACGACCAGCTCCTTTTACAAAGCGCCACAACGTAAGCGGTTATCGAGGTAATTTTGAGAACGAAGGGGGAAACGATGAGGTACGAAGGGGTGTCCCCTCTATTTCAGCCAGAAAATGATGCATGAAGTTGTCGATGCCTGAAATTAAACACCAACTTCTTTTCCTTATCTCAGAAGCAATTTTTTCCTGGTGAAAAAGATGCTCACGTAAGTAAAACTTCGATTTCGTTTAATTTTAACTTAGCTGATCTCACATCACATTCAATTTCAGCAATTGTAATTAGTATTATGCTGGGTCACCGTAGCTGAGGCTGTGCGACCCCCTCCCCTACTACTGTATTCCCCTCTCTCGGCTTACAAATCGCGCATTTAGGTACCACCATTACTCGCGCGACCTCTACCCATTAGACTCTTAGGAAAACCCACGGACTGATGTTGTTGAGACCGTGATATGACGATGACCTTTTTGTGACCTCAAACTGACATAAGCATTTTCTTACAGGTTATTACATTTCGGCAAAAATATCCGTTTGAAAAATTGGCTTTCAATAATCTTTGGCTTACAAGCAGAGGGAACCAAAATGTATTTCTACGCTTTTCCGTTGCTCTTAGCAAAAAGCGGTAGTTTCAACAAAATCCATGCCTCGACTTATCAGCCTAGAGCACACTCCACAAAATCGAGCTCCCAACTGAAAAGAAAACGCTGATTTCACCGTCCGCGTGCACGGACAACAAGAATCTGCGATTGCGGCAGTTTTACCGCTGCGGCAGGAAAA